TTTTGAGTTGGAGTCTCACCCTGGCTGGAGTGTAGTGGCACACTCACGGCTACCACAGCCTCCACCTGCTGGGTTCGGGTGATCCTTCTGCCTCAGCCTTCCAGGTAGCTGCAATTACAGCACGCGCCACCATGCCCTGCTAATTTTTTGATTTATTCTCAAGATTAGGTCTCACCAAGTTGCCTAGGCTGGTCTGGGTTGTTTCTTAGACCCTGGGCATCAACAAGTACTCTGGCTTGGGGGTATGTCAACTGCTTGGTGGTTTGGGGGTCTCTCCTGCTCAAGGGAGGACTTCTAGTGTGGGACTGTCAGACTGTTTCTCTGCCTGAAAGTGTCGGCAGCAGGAGTTGGTTTCCCTGATGTGCAAGGCCAGAGTCCCAGCTGATCCTGGTCCAGTATCTAAGCAGTGGGGTCATGTCAGCCACCCCGTGTGCTTGGTAAAATGAAGATGGAGACCCATGGCAGTAACTACTGGCCTCCAGAACAGGACACACCCCAGAGATGGTGCCTCGAGCTGCGACAACTTGGCTTACAGGGTTGGGTGGGGTGAGAAGGGCACACATGGTTCTCCTCACCCAGGGTAATGTATCTGCATGAATTTCCAGCAGTTTCCCAAGCTGGGAGATTGTGGGATTGGTAGTAAGGGTTGCAGATGTTTGCACTGGCAATGGAGGCTGGTAGGGACCTTCTGCTTTTTTTTTTCCCCTGCAACAGGAAGGTTTTCTTGACTTCAGACAAATCTGAGTGGGGAAAAACAGGCAGGCAGTGGGTGGGTGCCTCCATGCTGCCCTCCTGGGCTTCTAGGCACCACTCTCTTGCTGCACTCTAGCATTCTCCCTTTGACACTCAGCAAATCTTAGTTGTTTATTTGTTGCCTTGGTCCTATTTTGTTGGGAGGGGGGTGCCAGGCACCTCTAGTCAACCATCTTGTTCCCATTTTTTTTCATACGGCCTTTTAATATTCAAATGTTACCAATGCTGTGTACTGGTTTTTAATAGAAATAAAACTTTAGGACATAAAATCATGGTTCAGTAATAATATTTTAGTTTTATTCATAATTTTCAACACTTGCATAAAGTAGTATAAAAATGCTTTAAACAAAAGAAGTCCATAGTGGAATTTATAACCCAAAGACATTGAATGGTTAAAATTTAATTTTTTAATAGGTTGTTAATTTGTTTTCTGTAATTCAGTTATTCTTGACCGTATTAGGAACCAATAAATTATTCTACTACTTATATCTCTTCTAAATTGTCTCTGTCAACAGACAAAAATGAGATGTAGACATTTTATATACCACATATCTTTCCTTTGGAAAAATAACTGGAATGGATGATGAATTTCCCAAAGTTTTTATTATCTTAGTATCATTGGAGTCCTTGAATGAGAGAAAAGTAAAAGGATAATTTGTAAATTAAAAAGCATATGGTAGTTGGTCTGCAGTTCATTGTTTCTTGCTAGTAGCCAGTTCGAAACATGGAGTGACTGAAAAATAATGAGGCTGCTTTACCTGAACTGCAAAGTAATGACACTAATTTTAGTAAAATTTAGTACTAGGTATTAATAAAATATAAAGTATGAAAGAAATGGAAAATATTGAAGTTCTTTTCTAATTCTACAGAAAGGTGTACATGATGCAATTTGAGAACAGAAGACAGGAAATGATTGAATTAATGCCTAAATGAAATGTTTATGAATTATAGAAATTAAGGATATGAAAGATGCTTATGACTTACTGGCAGATCATGTATTTAGTCCATTTGTAGAGTATCCCGTATGATAATTGCTTTTATGTCTTTATGGTCTAAGGCTAAGGAAGCTATTTTCAGCTACACTTAGAATTAGCTTTCTCTTCTCTGCACTCAACTATTGATTCTACATTTTCTCCTTTTATTTTGTCAGGCAATGTTTTTGCAGACTCAGTTTCCCAGACTTCATTTCAGAGCATGCAATATGTGTCAGCAGGCTGCGTATAACTTTGAAGATTCTGAAGTCCTATCTATGACTTCTTGCTTGTATTTTTCCTCATTTGTGAATTTGTATTACTTTTTTTTTTTGAGTGGGAGTCTCACTTTGTCACCCAGACTGGAGTGCAGTGGCCACTCCCAGCCACCGCAGCCTCAACCTGCTGGGCTCCGGCGATCCTTCCACCTCAGCCTTCTGAGTAGTTGGAAAAAAAAAAAAGAGAGAGAGAGAGAGAGAAAGAGAAAGAGAGAGAAACTACAAAATGAAATTTTTTTTTTTTTTGAGTTGTAGTCTCACTCCGCCACTCAAGCACTTACGGCCACCCCAGCGTCAGCCTGCTGGACTCTGGAGATCCTTCTGCCTCAGCCTTCCAAGTAGCCAGAACTTCAGGCACACGCTACCACACCCTGCTAATTTTTTAAAAATTTATTGTAGAGACAAGGTCTCGCCAAGTTGCCCGGGCTGATCTCAAACCCATGGGCTCAAGCAATCCACTTGTCTAGGCCTCCCAGAGTGCTGGGATTACAGGCTGAGCCACCAAGCCTGGCCACCTAAAGTGAAATTTTTAAAAGTTATTTAAGGAATACTTTATAACATTTAAAGTATTATAGAAATATTATATAGGAATAACTTATGCACAGTTTATCTTTATTGCTCAGAATCTTTTCAAGAACAATTCTCCTCTCTGGTGATTTATATATATTTTATTTTTTTATTATTGTCATTTTGAGTTGTTTGTTTTTTGTTTGTTTTTTGAGATAGAGTCTTTCCTAAACTGGTCTTAAATTCATCCTCCCACCTCAGCCTCCCACGTAGTTGGGGTTATAGGAACATGCCATTGTACCTGGCTCATATATATTTTCTATATACAAGATAGTCACTCTGTTTTTCATCCCACACATACTGCATATATCCTGAATCTTAAATGAGTTAATCTCAGAACTGTAGAAATTAACCCTAGCGTCAATCTCAGACCAGTAGAGTATTAATTCTGTGACACTGCTGAGTTCATTTTGACTGATGTACTTAGAATTTCATTTAATAATAAGGTGACTATTTTTGATTTCCTTTAAATATTGGTAATCATCTCCCTTGGCATTATTTGGCATTTAATATCATTTCACACTTGGTTTTCTTATCATGATTACTTTTGGGTCATAAGAAGTAAATTTTGAAAAGTGAATTACTGTAAATTTTAGATTTCAATATCATTTTTAAAATATACTAGAAAATTGCCATCTGCCTAAATAAATTTTAGAGTAATTAAAAGAAAGTTACAAGTATGAGGTAACTTCCTGAAGGGAAACAGCACCAACAGAACTTAGTGCTTTTCCCCAAAGTCATTTTAGGTTTGGGATTATTGCCAAGAGATCAGATCAGAACCTAAATAACCTGTCTTGGATTAACCTGAAAGATCTTCAGGATTCTAGTTACATTTAGGAGCTATTCTAGAATGTTAGTTTGGTGATTTTTCCTGGGCTGGGCTTAGGACAAGCTTTACAAATCCATAAAATAAATTGTATTCCTGACATAAACTGAAATAATTCTAAACACCTTAACTGACCCTGAGACCACACTGGTTTCTTGACACCTTTGGATTAGAGATTGAGACTAAGCTAAATCTCCCATGATTGTTTCAAATTCATTTGCATTGTATTCAGACCAATTTCTATAGTTTTCCAAGAACTTAATGGGTTTCATTAAGTGACTTGAACTTAATTGATTTCTCAAAAAGGCTTTTTTCTTACCAGTTTATATAGTTATTTTCAGCTTACTTACATGTCACTTTTTAACAAATGTGATGATAAAACTTTAGGTGTCTTTTTTTTTTTTGAGTTGGAATCTCACTCTGTCACCCAGACTGGAGTGCAGTAGCACGCTCACAGCCACTGCAGCCTCAACCTGCTGGGCTCAGGTGATCCTTCCTCCTCAGCCTTCCAAGTAGCTGAAACTACAGGCATGTACCACCACACCCAGCTAATTTTTTTTATTTATTGTAGAGATGAGGTCTTGCCAAGTTGCCCAAGCTGGTCTCAAACCCCTGAGCTCAGGTAATCCTCTCACCTTCGACTCCCAAAGTCCTGGGTTTGCAAGCATGAGTCACCATGCCCAGCTAGGTGACTTAAGAAAGGACATTGTTATTAGATACTGAATCTTATTAAAATAGAATTAAAATTACCTCAGTGGAAGATGAGTAGAATTTTCACTCTTAAAAAATTAGAGGAGAACTGGGTATGGTGGCTCACACCTGTAGTCCCAGCACTTTGGGAGGTGGAGGCAAGAGGATTGCTTGAGCCCATGAGTTTGAGACCAGCCAGCCCGGGCAACATGGTGAGACCTTGTCTCTACAGTAAATTTTTTAAAAATTAGCCAGGAGTAGTGGCACATGCCTGTGGTTCCAGCTACTTGGAAGACTGAGGTAGAAGGATCACCTGAGCCCAGCAGGTCAAGGCTTCGGTGGCTGTCAGAGTGCCACTGCACTCCAGCTTGGGTGACAGAGTGAGATTTCAACTCAAAAAAAACTGGAGAAGATATGAAACATTAGTAAATATCTTTGTATGTCTTTGCTTATAGGAAGATAAAATATTCCTAACATAATTTGATTGATAGACTTTATGGAAAACAACAAAATACATGAAAATTTGAGGTTTTTAAATGAATAGTCATTTGTCAATATTTGTTCTGGCAGGAAATAGAACATTCGAAGGGATTTGGAGAGAATCTAATGTAAGGAACACTGTGCAGATACATGGACAAAATAAGAGAGTCAACAGGACCAGCAATATAGGGAGCCATTCCTACCATGACCCCTGAAAGGGGAGGGGGGACATGGGTGCTAGCAGAACTTGGTGAGAGTCATAGCTGTGAGAAAGAGGCCATAGAAAGGAGCCACCACCAAAGCTGCAGTCCCTAGGGAGGAAGCAGGGAGAATCATTACTCAACCCTGTCTTTTCTCCAACCCTCTGATTCTCTGTTGTATCTTTATTGATATCTTACATAATTTCATTTTAATATTTTTCTCCTCTCTCTCCAGATTACAATTCCTAGACCTTCTGTGGCATCTACACAGTCCACTTCAGGAAGCTTTCACTATGGTCAGCAGCCAGAGAAGAAAGATCTTCAGCCCGTGGAGCCCACTGTGGAACTTTACTCTCCAAGGGAGAACTTCTCTGGCTTAGTTGTGACAGAGGGTGAACCTCCTAGTGGGGGAAGCAGAACAGATTTGGTGCCTCAGATAGATCACACTGGTCATGACATGTTACCCAATATTAGAGAAAGTGACAAATCTCAAGACCTAGGACCAAAAGACCTTCCTGACACTAACAGACTTGTTGTGAAAGAATTTGAGAATTTCCCCGGGGAAACTGAAGAGAAAAGTATTCTTTTAGAGTCCGATAATGAAGATGAGAAGTTAAGTAAAGGGCAGCACTGTATTGAGATCTCCTCTCTCCCAGGAGATTTAGTAACTGTGGACAAGTATCACTCAGCTACCACATCAGAACCTCTTGATGTGACAAAGACACAGACTTTTAGTGTGGTGCCAAATCAAGACAAAAATAATGAGATAATGAAGCTCCTAGTGGTCGGAACTTCAGAAGTTTCTCCAAGAGTTATTGACCCACATATTAAAGGACAAGTAGGCCAGGTAACAGCAGTGCAAAAAAGTAAGATCCCTAAGGATGATGACATCATGAGCGAAGACTTGCCAGGTCACCAAGGAGACCTCTCTACTTTTTTGCACCAAGAGGGTAAGAGAGAGAAAATTGCTCCTAGAAATGGAGAATTATTTCATTGTGTTTCAGAGAATGAACATGGTCCCCCAACCCGGAAGGATATGGTTAGGTCATCCTTTATAACTAGACACAGCCGAATCCCCGTTTTAGCACAAGAGATAGATTCACCTTTTGAATCATCATCTCCAGTCTCTGCAAAAGAAAAACTCCTCCAAAAGAAAGCTTATCAGCCAGACCTAGTCAAGCTTCTAGTGGAAAAAAGGCAACTCAAGTCTTTCCTTGGTGACCTTTCAAGTGCCTCTGATAAATTGCTAGAGGAGAAACTAGCCACTGTTTCTGCTCCCTTTTCTGAGGAGGAAGTCTTCACTCCTTTTTCAAGACTGACAGTTGAGTCTCACCTGAGTAGGTCAGCTGAAGATAACTTTCTGACACCCATCATCTCCCAGTCCAGAAAGAGTAAAATACCACGGCCAGTTTCATGGGTCAACACAGATCAAGTCAATAGCCCAACCTCATCCCAGTTCTTGCCTCGGCCACCACCAGGAAAGCCACCCGCAAGGCCTGGAGTAGAAGCCAGGTAATGCTCACCATATGTTACATGTATAACATTAATTCTGCATCTGCTTTCTTGTAATATGTCAGTGGTATCATTTGTATGTTACTGCTCTTAGTATCTACTTTGTTTCTGGCCTTTCCAAAGCCTCATAGCTTAATGCTGTGGAAGCAGTCAGATTGATCCAGGTTAATTCTCTTTTTTTCAGTTTATTGTGGTAAAATACACATAACATGAAACTTATTCTCTTAACCATTTTTAAGTGCAGTTTAGTGGTATTAAGTACATTCACATTGTTGTGCAGCCATCACCACCATCCATCTCCAGAACTCTTTTAATCCTATAATATTGAAATTCTGTGCCATTAAACAATAAATCTCCATTATCATCTCCCCCACCAATCCCTGGCAACCACCAATCTACTTTCTGTCTCTATGATTTAGACTACTCTGAGTACCTCATATAGGTAGAATCATACAGAATTTGTCTTTTTGTAAATGGCTTATTTTACTTAGCATAATATCTTCAAAGTTTATGCATGTTATAGCATCTGTCCGAGTTTCCTTTTTAAGGTTGAATAGTAAGGACAAAATTACTTCTGTGTCATTTTGGTGTCATTTTGGTATTTGTTTTCTACAAGCTTTATAGCTTTTTATCCCTCATTTGCTACATCATTTTCTTCTTTTACATTTAGTTGACTTTTTATAATGAACCATTTAAATTCTTTTTGTGTATATTCTGTAGCTGTTTTCTTTGTGGTTACCATAGGTGTTACATGTAATATCCTAGAGTTATAACACTCTAATTTGTATTTATACCAGCTTAACTTTAATATCATGTAAAAACTCTGCTTCTTTACATCTTCATCTCCACTCCTTTCTGTTGTTGTCACACAATTACATCTTTATACACTGTGTGTCCAAAAACACAAACTAATAAATTTTAAAATGCATTAGTTTCTTAAATTATGAGGAAAACAAAATATGGAGTTACAAACCATTTTTAGAATAACACTAGCTCTTAATCGTTGCTTTTTTTGAAAACAAAGTATTGTTCTCTTAAGTCATGCAGAATACAAAAAGTAGAGTTATAAACTTGTTACAATAATCGTAGTTTGACCAGGCTTGGTGGCTCAGCCTATAATCCCAGCACTTTGGGAGGCCGAGGTGAGTAGATTGCCTGAGCCCATGGGTTCAAGACCCTCCTGGGCAACTTGGCGAGACCTCATCTCTACAATAAATCAAAAATTAGCTGAGCGTGCTGGTGCATACCTATAGTTTCAGCTACTTGGAAGGCTGAGGTGGAAGGATTGCCGGAGTCCAGCAGGTCAAGGATGTGGTGGCCAGGAGCATGCCACTGCACTCCAGTGTGGGTGACAGAGTGAGACTCCAACTCAAAAAAACAAACAAACAAAAATAGTAGCTTTTATAATTGCCCATGTTTTTGCCTTTACTTAAATCATTATCTCTTCTTCTCTATATTTTATATTTTTTTATTTTTGGATGTAGTCTTACTTTGTCCCCCAGGCTGGAGTGCAGTGCAGTTGTACAGTCAGCTCACTGGTACAACTCCTGGGCTCAAGTGATCCTCCCACCTTGGCCCAAAGTGATGGGATTACAAGTGTGAGCCACTGCACCTGGACTTTATTTCTTCTTCTTCTTCCTTTTTTTTTTTTTTTTTTTTAATATTTCTTTTTGGTTTCTTTTTAGGTTTTCTATCTCTTTACTGTTATTTCCATTTTGTTGATACATTTGTTTTAACTTTCTCCACATCTTACTTTAGTTCTTTGAGTATCTTTAATATAGTTGTTTTAAAGTTTTTGTCTAATAGATCTATCATCAGGTATTTTTCAGGTAAGAATTCTGTTGTTCTGTTTTCTTCCTCTGAATGGGCTATACCTTCCTGTTTCTGTATATGCTTTTAAAATTTTTTGTTGAAAATTAGGTGTTTGAATCTAATAATGTAATAACTCTGAAAATGAGTTTTTTCTCCTTCTTCAGGATTTGATGGGTTTATATATATATGGTTGTAGTCAATCTCTGTGTTGAAGATCAGCCTGAGGTGTAAATTTAAGGTCTTCTTAGGTCTTTTCTGAGCCTACACCTTTTCCTGGGTATGTGTAATTTCCCCAGTATATGTGGTTGCTTTTGAATATCTTAGTCTTTAATGTCTGGCTCCCAAGAGCAGAAAAGAGAAAAATGAAAGATGGAAAAAAAGGGCACTGGCCCTTTAGATCCCCTGGAAGTCACTTCAGCCTGAGGAAAATAGGCTTGCAGCAGTGAGGGGAGATAAAAGAATGGTTGCCCACCTCTTTCTCTGCCCCTCTCTGATCAGAAGCAGCAATGAGCAATCAGCACAGATCTCCAATAATTGAAGGACAGGGCTTTTCATTCATTTTATTATTATTATTATTATTATTATTATTATTATTATTATTATTATTATTATTTTGGGTAGGAGTCTCACTCTGTTGTGCATGCTGGACTGCAGTGGCCACTCCCGGCCATTGCAGCCTTGACCTGCTGGACTCAGGTGATACCTCCGCCTCAGTCTTCCAAGTAGCTGGAACTACAGGCATGTGCCACTATGCCCTGCTAATTTTGTGATTTATTGTAGAGATAAGGTCTTGCCAAATTGTTCAGGCTGGTCTCAAATCCGTGGACTCAGGCAATCCTCTCACCTTGGCCTCCCAAAACACTGGGATTATAGACGTGAGCCACGGTGCCTGACCTTCCTCAGTCTTTAAATGGTGGTTTGATTCATTTACAGAGTTTTAAAAAGAGATATATTGACATTTGGGCACTTTAAAAATCATTAAAAATTTTATTATGGTTTTTCACTATGCTTTTTTGATAAGAAATGTTTACCATGCCTCCCAAATTATGTAACTATTTATCCACATTCTCTTAATTGTCTATATTTTCAACATTTGACTAAATAGTAATATCTGAAATTTGTATGGGCTAATTTGGGGCTCTTTACTTTTCTCCAAATACTTGTTTAATAGTTCCTGGACCTGGGCCATCTATTTTTTTTTCTTTTGTTTATCTTTTTAAAATTTATTTTATTTTGTTTTTATTTTGGGATGATCTATTAAATAATATATTTTTTCTCCACAAATGTAGATCACCAAACCTATCATATGCTAGTTACTGTATGAGGCTGAACAATTTAGAGTTGCCATTTTTGTGTCAAAAATAGAATGTTGATAATTCTGTATGATTCATCCTATTACTAACTTCTGGCAAAAGCAAAATTTCCTTTTATTAAAGGATGATGTCAAATATTTTAATAATTGAAAAAATAAACTCAATTTAAAAAGAATTCAGATGTGTAACCAAGAAACTTTAGCTAGCAGCAATAAATGAGTTGTAGATATGGGATCAAGTCAGTGAGTGGGGTTGACTCAAACATTTCTCTCCTTAAAATAAAAGTAAACGCTGCACACTGCATTTTTAAAATATAATATTCTTTTCTCCCCTGTGGACTTTTGGGTCCACTTCACAACAGCTGAGCTGGCTCACTGAGCAAAGCTCTCACTATAAGGTCTTTCCTGCTCTGTCTTTTCCCTGCTGGCCTCATTATCAAAAATGTGCTACTGTCAGATATAAATGATGTTTCTCACTAAGTACGCTCAATAGCATTTTCCTTTCACTCTGTTTTTCTTCAAAATCTAACAATAAGCCATTTTGCCTTCATGAAAAAAGATCCCAAGCCTCTCTGACTATTCCCAGACTTGTGTCTTGGCATGACTGGCAGTCCAAGTGATTGATCCATAACCTTTGGGCACTCAGGCAATTATAAGTTGCCCATAAGCTTTTCTGTGCCAGCAGAGCAAATATAAATACTCAGGGATCTAATTCTGGGTCAACAAAGCTTTCTGTTCATGATGTTATATGAAATGAAGTTTTTTTCCTGTAAGATGGAATTCATTAGAGAACAATAAAAATTATTTGTGTTTTTCTTTCTAATCACCATGAAACATAATGATTACTTCTTTTTCCTTCTTTGTACATGCCTACATTTTTTCTACTTCCAACCTTTGACATTTTCTTCTACAGTCTTCCCACGAATCTAGGAATGGTGGTTAAGAAATCCAAGTTTCTGGTGTTCAAAGAAAAATGAAAGTCACAAATAGCCCTCGTAAAAGAAAGTTTCAGTATTTCCATTCCCATAATTCTGGGAGTTGTCAATCGTTTTTATTTTCACTAATGAGGCAATAACTCAAGAGCTGGTCCTCTTCTATCAGGAGACAAATATTATGAAACAGAACTGTCATTTGCAGAGGCGTATGTGTATGTGCTTGTAAGAAAAAAGGGCATTTTCTCAGCCAAGACAGAATGAGCTGTAATAGACTGATTACTAAATGGTTTATCATAAAATCTCAGTACTGGAAAAGAACATTAAAGGTCATATGGTTCAATCTCCTATTTACAAATATGCTTATTCAAAACAGAAAGGCCAAGTTAACAAGTTTTGGAAGCTGCTAAACGCTATCATCATCTCATTGTATGACCTCTCGCTTCCCCAAAATGTTCTGACACATGTATTTTTCACATTGATTGTCTTTAGAATTTCATGACATTGAGATAAATTGCAGACATTCTAGACTAGGTGATATTACACTTAGGAAAATGATGTTTTTCTGGTAGAATAACTGGTTCACTTTTCTATTTCATTTTAGCTGTTGTTTACTGGCTGTAGGAGGGGAGAACTGCTCCCAATCTCCTTGTGGCTTATTGTAAATTAATGACCCTCCTTACACCGCCCTTTCTGTCCATGTCCTTGGTCATGTGACTTCCTTTGGCCAACGGGACATTAGCAAATGTGATACAAGTGGACACTAGTAAAGTGCTTGAGGGTGCTTTCTCTTTTGTTGCACTTTAAATCCAATTTACCTGTGAACAGGCCCAGGCCAGTCAGCTAGAGACCTGTGGCCCAGCCAATCCATCTGCCAGATATATGAATGAGGCCATCTTAGACTAATCAGTCTCAGCTGAACCATCAGATAACTGAGACTACACAAGG